TGACTTGGGAATAATCAAGGCTTACGCGAGGGCTGCCATTTGTCACAAGATTTTCCCCTTGAAATTGTGCTGCTTCTAACACTACCTCGCATGTAATAGGCAGCACAGTCTAACTTGCAAGGGGCCCTAGTAGGAGCTTGTGATAGCATTCAGTCTAACATCGCAACCCGATGTCTGCACGCTTTCGATTATCACCTTGGCGACAGAAAAAATGAAATCAATTTAGCAAAGTATATCAATGCGTGCAAAGGATTAAAAAAGTCGACGTTCGGAAAAATGCTTTATCAAGATCACTGTCTTGATAACGTGCGAGAAGAGCATTGTCCTTTCCTTACAGGTAGGAGACTTTGACTGGTAAAGTCCAGTTGTCTCGATGCAAACAACTGCACTTTGGGATGAATGTAGCGGAATCCTGCCCTTCACTGCAGTCAAACCAAAAAAGTCAATGGGAAAATTAAGTCATCTCTTGAAGCTCAGAGTAAGTTTAGGGACAATTATAAGCAAAAACCTGAAATTTAACTTTTTTGGTATGAATTTGAATGACAGCGGAATTTGACAGAGGAAAATACGTGTTTTTGTCTGTGCATCTCAGTAGGCCCTGTTTTAAGCCAGTCATTAACTAGGACTACCGGATAGAATTGTCCAGCAAAAACCAAATTAACTTGAGCAATTCAACCACTCACCTCCATTGCTGAGTCATTCGACTTGCCGATCAACTGAGGAGTTTATGCAAGTTGAGCATTAAGCTTGATAGCTTCTGAAGTCATGGGGTAATAAACTACACTAAAAGATAAACTTTGATAACGAGAGACGGTTAAACCGATTATTATGAAGACAAAAAAGGTTCTCACCACATGTGGAAATTGAGACCACTGGTAGAATGTAACCTCGCCTTCTCACTCAGTTGTCATCACCCAAGCTACGATTATTATTGACGCCGCTGTGCGTACACACACAAACGTGCGCACTTGCACGCGCATAGTAACAGAGGCAGTGGCAATGGAAGCGTGGGATAGGATGGGGAGAGGAGGGAGAACGAGGGAAGTGAGACAGGCGGTTTGATGTTGTCCTCCCCCCGCATTAGTCCCTTCCTTTCCCTCGTCCAACCTTTGCCATTACTTTTCCGGAAGACGCAGCTCTCTTTTGGCACATTGCCAAGTGCCCTGTCTCCAGAGCTTTGGAGGCGTTGGCGCGACCCTTACATAATTACATCTATCGCCAAGAGGCCAATCGACCCACCTCACTGCGGTCAGTATTTTTAGAGGGTCCTGGTTGAGTCATTTGTTTCCCTTCCTTCAGTACTCATGCACTTGAGATATTTTTTTGGGATTAGTAAAGTAATACGGTGGCAAATGAAAAAGAGCTGAAAACATGAAATTGTTTGGCAGGCCGATCGATGGTTTTCATATTGCGGTCAAATGGCTGCCAAGACCACCCAACTTATCTTAGAAGGCATTATGCAGCGCTTGGAAGTACCGAATGTATAGCCACAGGGCTCTATGAAAAGAGATTGCAAAGAACTACCACATCCATTAACTAGAAGACAGTTTTGGATTAACTTTTGGCCAACTATAGTACATCTAGTCTGTACCATGTTTGGATTTTGGCTGGATGTTTCGGCTCTAGTACACAGTTTGGACGGCGAATAATGGGGGAAATCAAAGGCCTAGTTTTTCTTTATGTTATTAAAACAAATTATAGCACTACCATTTGGGAGCTGTCAGATGGCACAGTGTCATGAAAAGAACAAAACAATACTTGACGACACTTAAATAATTTAAGTAGCAAAAAATATTAAAAGTTTATGAACCTCGATGCGAGGAAAGTTGAGCAAAGCATGACTCAGCAGAAAGGCAAAAAAGTTAAAGGTATGAGGCAATTTACATACAGATGATTGCATAACAAGACAGTTTCTAAACCCCATCTGAAGTTTCCGAGCTATTGTAGCGTTCTGTTTGGACGTTTAGTCTGATGATGGCAGATGAACAAACAACAGATTGAATGCAGTAAGAAAGTTGCAATAAGGGCGATGCGAGAACCAAGAAATTGTTTGCAATCCGAAACTCCCAGTTTTCGCAGTATTTCAGAGATGATATTAAAAGCTATAACCATTGTTAGTCTCACTTCAGCCATTAGGCCGATGTCGGTGTCGTTCGAGTCCAAATAGATGTTTTTGAAGGAAGCCTGAATGCACCTTTTAAGGTGCCATGGACTAAACCTGCAATTCACGAATATCTGCTAAGCAATAGTTCAGAGACTTTTGTATCCACAACGTAACCCTCCGTTATTGTCCAAAGCCCTGTCCACAACTAATTCCTTGAATGCCCCGGCAGCCAGAGGTGCTGCTGCAAACCATAACTGAAACCAAGTGCAGTCAACAGCTTGGCACCGTTTGGTGGCACACAAGAGTAATGGAATTTGAGAATGCGAGGCAACTTAGAAATAGAATAATCACCTTCTCAACTGTTATCACTAATGGGGCAAAGGTGGTCACAGCAAAAACACCTCAGGCTGGGTTTTGGATTGTGAATTGAAGGCTCTCCCTCATTACTTTCAGCGTTCATTAGCGATCTAACTCCTTGCCAAAGAATCGGTTTGAAGTGTTCAAACCTGAACAAATGCACAAGTATCGAAGCAATCATGCAGCGCATTACTGTACGGAGAGAATTTTCTAATGAACATGCATTAT